GCGATATGGTTCATGGGGTCATGAAGAGTCGGACACGACTTAACGACTGAACAACAACAACAAATGCTTTATATATATGAGTACCACATGCATTTTAAGATTTTCCTTTGCAAAATCTGCAGTAATGTATCTGACTTCTAAACACACAAGTCACTTTATAAAGAAGATAATTGTCTCTTTGAGAATGAGAGCTGTTGAATAAGAAACTTAAAAAGGAGCCCCCTCCCATGTGCATTCACTGTATCCCTAAGTGCACATGAAACTTCTTTTAAAATCTCAACTGATGTGTTCTGAATATGAAAGAAAACTGAAAGGAACAAATTATAACTATGACAACAATAATTTATTTGTAGGCAACAATGAATGTTGAACATGAAATCAACCTGTTAGTTGAAGAAATTCGACGACTGGGGACCAAAAGTAAGTATGACTAAATGGCTATAGAAGGAATGAAAATTAACAGCATCCAAATGTGGTAGACTATAACTGGCATAATTTTCAATGTACTTTAATCCAATGTGTCTGGAGGGCATTATGTTGGGGGAAATCTGCAGTATAGGAAAACCTCATAGAGAAAGCCCCATTGGATGGAAAAGTGAGTTTTGAAACTCAAAAATAAGATCCTGTTTTGTTCTTAAAACACAAAGAGGTTGGATGGAAATCAGTAAAGAGTTCTGAAAACTTCTGGCAACAGTTCAAATATTAAAGGAAGTGGTTAAGGCTTTTGCTTTAAGGCAGTCTGACAAGGATGTTGCAGAATATAAATTATTGTCTATGTGCCATCAGCTTGGTGTCAACTCTTAGTGACCACATAGATTTTCTCCTGTTCCCAGCCTGGTCCTTCAAGTCCTTCAATGGTGCACTCATAACCACTGTAATTTAGCCCATCCACTTTGCTGCTGGCCATCCTCTTTCTGTCTTTATTTCCACCCTTCCCAGTATTATAGACTTGAGACCTACAGTATGTCTTCGCATACTGTGTCCAAAGTAGGATAATTTGAACCTCATGAGAACTCTGGGTTGATTAGTTTGATGATCCAGCTGTTTGTTTTCTTAGTTATCCAAATCTAGGGGACTTCTTCAATACCTATAGAATATAAATACTGATACTAAATAGATAATAAGAACAGCATGGGAGCCCTCAGCCTATTTAAGCCAACGTCATGCATCTTTAGTTCTAACAGCATTATATAGAATGGCACAATTGCCAATTTTCTTTCAAGGGCCCCCTGTGTTTCTGAAAACTGATAGCAAGAATGATAAAATGTACTTTCTTATGAACAGCACCTTCATGCTAGGTACAGCTGCAACTATTTTCAAGTGCCCTGCATGGACTCCCTGAAAGAATAGAAAGATAACTGTGCAGTGGATGGGCAAGTTTCCCATATATTCTTATCTACTAATGCAAACTTGTGACATAGACAATCATTTCATGGAGAACAACAGTCTCTTTGAGGGGATGCCAACTTGCTTGTGGAAACTTGGCAACAGTGAGAAATGATGGCTAGATGTATACATCATGTTATCACTGGTTTGTTTACTCATGGATTAAGTAAATCACAATATGTAACATATTAAACCAAATCACATTTTGGCTTAGTTTGATGAATGAAGCCAGTGGAGAGTATCTGCTACAGACAATTTCCTATGCGTAAGTATCTGCTGTATTAATGGTTGAGAGCTTCTAGTCTACTCAATTTCCAAATATCCACTGAATATGGGATCCCATGGTGATCTCATTGATGTCTATGATTGGGGTTCATCTGTTGGTAGAGACATTATCAGTAGGATAATAGTTACCTATGCATTGTAGGGAGCATCATCAGAACTGCAGTTAATGTTCAGCCTGTTGTGTTTTAATTCACCTAGTGATGCACCTAGGGCTGGACCTTTGGGGCAAACTCCATCCTTCCAATGACCATCAGTGAAATGACAGGCCTAACATCTCTTCTTGGGCTGATATGTACAAATCTGGATTCAGTCAGGCTGATGCTGTGGCATCCTTTTTTTCTTAATTTAAAATATATTTTATAGACAAAGATTAGTTGACTTTGGACATTTACACAATTATAGATGCTCTTTTAATTTTTATTTTAAAATATATTATTACTTTCAACCAACAAAGTAGTACTTAACTGCTATAGTACAAATTAAGAGTTTGCATCAAAATTTCTCCCTTGAATTTTGAGTCTTTAGCTCCTTCATATAATACAAACTGTTAAGTAATGGAAATTTACTTGTCCCCATATTGACCCAGCACACTACCTCCTTCTATTTGAGGGCAAAGAGGTGAAATTCTGTGGCCATGAATCAATGTTTAAATGCTTGGGATGCTGTGAGAGTTAGTTTTTATACAGGGAAAGGAAAACAACCCGATAATAGATTTGTCCGTTACCAAAACAAGAGAGAGAGGGAAAGAGGGTAATCTCGTCTGTTGTACAACTTGGATGGGAGAAAGAGGTACAATAAGTTGAACACTGATTTCACTGTAAATAGGACTTACATTTGATACCTAGCAAGTCACTGGAATTCTTTCATAATGGCGTTTCCCCTTTTAAAATAAAACTGGATTCTTATGGGCATATTGGTCCTAGTCCAGACTGCTAGTACAAGTCTACTGATAGTTAGACATACTGGAATTGAGATGGTGAGATCCTGGTTAGAGATATGCATTTATACCCTAGGATGAAACTTTCTTGCACTGGCAGTATCCTAATGGCAAAAGGAAGGATTTTATCAACGGCCTATTGCCTGAGTAACAGTGCTATAAATTCACTATACTTTTGTACCTTTATGGAAAGGGCATTTAAATGCAATCTTATTTTTTCCATTGGCTTTAATTTCAGGTGATACCCATGTTCACTAATCACATTAGGTTAAAAAAAAAGGTTTTTTTGTTGCTTTTAGCTTAGTATATTCTGCTAATTGAGATTTGTACAATATTTTATAGCCTAATATGTAGTGTAAACCCAACTAGTTGTGGCTTATTCAACAAACCATGGCTAACATGATGTGTGAATCCAGTCATTGTTAATCATGACTACCCTGAGTTACTTTGGGCCTAAATGATACAAGATTTTCATCTGATTACTATTCAGTGTATAGTCATAAAACAGTTTACAGTAATTAAAAATGTAAAAATGGAAGAAAATATATTTTTAAAAGTGTTAAAATGTGTTTTTTTTCTCTAACAAAAAGTGAAAGATTTCTCTTGCTACCTTCTTAAGCAGTGCCAGCAAACACAAAATAACATTGCAGAGAGTTATTAATTTGATACAATTTTTCATTTGCTTTGTTTAATAGTCCCCTATAAAAATTGAAATAGGAAGCCATCAAAACATTTAATATTTGATCTAATGGACTTGGATTTAGTAGTAATTTTTACTGATTTGTGCTCCGTATTGTATTTTTATTTAATAAGTAGCATATTGATTATATTTTCACATTTACATTATGATGAATTTGGCTAGAATTACAATAACCTAACTAAATGAAATTAGAAACTTTGAAAATCTCCAGGTCCAACTGCTTAGTGGAGCTGAAGTGTTGTATGTCATTTCATCATCATGCTTTCTTTTGTCCAGATCCTGATGGGACATTGAGTGTGAAGTTTGGAGTGCTGTTTGCTGATGAGAAATGTGCCAACCTTTTTGAAGCTTTAGTGGGAACTCTTAAAGCTGCAAAACGACGGAAGATAGTTAGTTATCCTGGAGAACTGCTTCTGCAAGGAGTTCATGACAATGTTGATATCTTGTTACTTCAGGATTAGTTACTTTCTTAGCACATGGCATTAAATATATATATATATAAATAATCAAGATGCATTTGCATGAAAGTATACCTTCCTATTTATCTTTATAGAATTATATATAAAAAATTCTTTGAAGGCCTTTTAAGGAATTCCTTTCTGAAACAATTGCTACAACAGATTGTTGGACCTCTTTTTTGGGGGCTTGGGAATTGCATTCTTAGATCTCTGAAACTTTGTTAAACTCTGAGAATTTCCATTTCTTATACTTTAGCTATATTAACAATCTAAACTCTGCTAGAAACTTTCAAAGACTAATTTATGGGGATTCTGTGTTTTCTTGTGGTGATTTTTCTGCAAGAATCAAAATTACTCTGGCCAGACGAAGTGTTCAAGCTGAGAGTTTCATCTGAAACAGAATATTTAATATAGTCTTAATGTGATGCTTGAAACCCAGGTTTCTCATATGAAATATTTTCTGAACTGTAATGTTTCAGAGAAAAGTTACAGAAACAGTGCCAGGCAGAAGAATTCTCTTGCTTTTTTTTTTTTTTTGGCATGTTCTCATTAATGGAGGAAAGTTTGTTATAGAAATCCTTTCAAAAGAGAAAATAATTTAAGAGAAATTGTTATGAGTAGTGTGGTGTTCTTGCACTTACTTAGATACAAAGTGATCAAAACAAAGTGTTTTGTCTTTCACTATTACAATCATCTCTCCAGCAATCTGCAAGTCAGATGTCAATTAAATTCCAAAGAAATACCCCAAAGGATATTTGGATATTTTCTTTGACAGTGCTTCATTGCTAAACGGGAGTCTTGCTGTTGAGAAATTGTCCATCCAGTTTCCCCTCTGACAAATCTGAGAATCTCAAAAGACCATTTGTGTCTAACTCATATATTTCTCTGTCTCAGGGTGAGGCCAGAAAGAGAAGTGGGAGTGCAGTCCTTCTATTCCTCAGAGATTCGAGTTTCTCTATAAGGCCCATCACTTGATGATGATGCTCTGCTGGGGAAAGGATCTACCTTATACAAACTGAGTAGATCACTCCAGGTAGCAGTAAGCATTGTCCAAAATGCTGTTAAAACAAGCTCAGTCTTTTCTATTTGGCCTGATTGAGAAAGAAGTGGAATAGGGTGTGGGAAATACCAATCTGAATCCTCTATGGCAGGCAGCAGGGAATGAAGACTTGAAAGATAGAACATGACATAAAATGAGAAGAATGGGAAGGTTGCCTCATGCAGGACATGGATGTGATATTGGTAGAGCTGAACAAGACCCTCTTACAGAAGTCCATTCTGTGATCTTTTAGCTCTCTTTACAAGCTAACTGAAGTGCCCTTCTCATTACTGTAATTCATCTAGGAAACTAGCAAATCACCATTTCTTTCTCCCAAAAAATACTTGAGAATTAAAGACTGTCTAATGGTACAACAGTGTCACAGTACACTTTTAGTCCTTATCCTCTCATTCTATGCATTTTGCATGTTCTTTTTGCATCTAATTGATTCAGTGGCTAGCTGGTCTTCCTTAGAAGCCCCAAAGGGGCTTCAAAGTAAAGTACTTCATCAATCAATACATAGAAATCTAGGAGTTATTTTTAGCTATTTCATTCTGTGAGAAAGATGCCTTTGATTAAAAAAAAATATTTCATGTACACCAGGAGAATTTGGTCTCATAAAATATGTATTTTTGGTATTTACAATAAAATGTTTACAATTCTCAGCAGTGTAGTTTGTTTCTTGAGGTCTGGGGTAACTCACCTGAACACTGGAATTCTTACTTTGTAAGGTTCCTCTTTGCCAGTTCTGTACACGCTTGTACTGACTTTCTCAAGACTGATGTATATAAGCAAAAGAAAGTATGGTTTGTTATGGTGATGTAGAGAATATGAAAGAGTCAAAAGATACTTAATCTGAAATGTTGCTTTGAAACATATGAATTTATTTTTGATGCTGGAATTATTTACATATTCATTTAAATAATACATTCTGTGTTAGGAGTGATCTTATTAAAGCTGTGATTCAAGATTAGGGACATTACTTACCTTGAAAGAAAAGCATCTGAGTTCTCAATGTGTCTTAAAATAGATGGAAACTTTTTGGAAGTTTACAATGTGAGTTCTTGATATATTTATCAAGGCAGCTAAACAAGGAAGTAATGCTCCAGAGAAAGGTATTAGTATCTGATTTCAGAACAAGATAGTTTCCTATGGAAACTCTTCATGTCTTTTGAATATCTTAACTGACAGCTATCTAAAATGCGAGAGGTTTAAAGGTAGAAAGCTCACTCATGTTTTTGTTAAAACTTGGTGTTCAAGGGGTTTTTTGAAAATTTAAGATCTTAAACATTTCTGATTGTTAAAAAATAATTACACAGTATATGCATTTTTTTTCTTATGATTTATTTTGTTTGCAATTTTATTTAGAAAATAGGAAAAAAACAACAAAAAGAACAAGATTCCAGCAGTTTAATTATGATTAATACAATACATAAATTGAACCAAAGCAATTCTTGCTATATATTTCCTTGAAATGTTTATAGTGTAGGGGCTCAAATGTTGGCTTGGCATTGGAAAGACCCAGATTCTATCCTCAACCATGGAAGCTTACTGGGGCACTCTAGGCCAGTCATTTTCTCTAACATGCTTCATAGAGGAGTTGTTCTGTGGAAAAATGGGAGAAGGGAGTATTACGTACACCGCCTGGAGCTTCTGAAGAAAATGTGGGATATAATTCTAACAACAAATGGCTATGGAGACCTGAGAATCAAGTGCTTTCATTATACTGAGCTGTAAGAATATAAGTTTAGATGGAGTCATTAACTGGCACACACATTCAAGAAAGCATTCAATACGTATTATGAGCTGGCCAGGCCATTCTACATCTAATCCTATTCCACAGATAAACCAGACTACATACAAACCAGTGTTCTGTGTTGCAGTCACCAAATGATAAACATGCATGTATACATGGGAACATCTTCTAGTGAGACGTGTATTCTTGTAGCACTTCTGGGGAAGCAATGGTGGACCGAAGACAGCTCTGCAAAGAGCGGAGCTGATGGCCGCAGCGGGAAGAGGAGCCGGTGAAGATCGGCTCCTTGGAACTCCTCTCTGGATTAAGGAAAGGACTAGGATCATCCACAAATTTGCTCCATGCAGAGGCTCCCCGTGAAGAGACTGTAAAATAGCAATCTCCAGTGGGTTTTAGAGCTCTGGGAGCCAGGGGGAAAATCATCTTGACTAAGCTGTGGTTTGGTGCCTTCAGACAGACACTGGGTTTGCCCACTTTTCCTCTTAATCACCTTAGAAAATGGCCTGTTATTGATTTTTTGGATGTTAAGAACTTTCAGAAGGGCAAGTTTCATTATGCTGGGAGTGTTTCCTTCTATCCTTGATGAAAGAACTTTCATGTAAGTTTAAGGATTAAAAAGAAAAACTTTTTACTTTTGAAAAACAGCAAAAGGGAGACTAGAATGTTGATTTTGGAAAGTTA